CCTATTATATGCCTGCGAGCGTAGGGACTTGAGCAGACTTTAATTAACAAAGGTATTTTTCACTTCAGTGGCAGCAAAAATAATTTTGTGTATTAGTAGCTGAATTAAAGAGCTTCATTACTTTTATCTACTTTGTGTTGCCAGGTGCACATTGTTCCAGTGAACTACAGAAGACAGGTATGGAATAACCATGCTGGGATCATGCAACCAGTTCCTTCATCATAAGGGACTAATCCTTACCTGCTGGGACAATGGTTAGAAAAATGTCAGTCTCCACCTGTGGATAATCCAGCACTCCATTGTACTAACACAGCCACTTCTGAGAGCATATCTAAGCAGGAGGCAGTTATAATCCACCCTCATCTTTTTCAGTAAAACGAGACATCAAAAGCAGAAAACACGCACATTAATTGCTGGATGGCAGTATGTCCATTAAACTGTTTCACTCAGTACCTCCCTGAAATGGTCATAACCACCAGCTTGTTGGATGTTGCAGAGCAAATGCAATGCTTTCATTGCGCGTATATATCATTTTCTCAGAGGTGAAAGACAAAGGCAGAAGCTAGGCAGGGAAGTGCCAAGGAAACGAATTGCTACATTCAGCAGTCAGTGGCAAAAAAATGTCTTCGGAAACATCGTTATCATTATCTACACAATCATTCTCTTTACAGAAATGACGAACAACTCTTGACACAATCATTCTGAAGGGGAGCGTGACAAAAGATGGACAAAGTGAAACCTTGCGAGACAGCAAGGGCAGATTTTAAGGAACATCGAGAGGAGGTTGTTAACCCTCTTCTGACATGCATTGTTTTCACTTGCTTCAGAAGACGAGGAGCCCTCTCTGCTGCGTTTGGGAGCCCTTTTGCTCATTCACAGGCATGGATCCCTGGGCAGTTGCCATTGAACTCCATTCTGCTTGGGATCCCTCTCAATGGTTCACAGGGGATGGTTTATGTGTCGGCACCTTTCTGCTGATGGGATCCACTGGGAAAGCGCTCCCTTCTGCATCTCAATAGACATAAAGCTTCCATATGTGTCAAAACCCCTGGAAAGGGATCTTCTCTGTATGACACAGAAGGCTTGGCTTTTAACCTGCCAAATCTAAAGCTTCTTCCTTCTGCCAAGCAGGCCTAATCTGAGCCCATAAACTACATCAGGAGAGCTGGAACTGGCAAAGATACTCCCTCCTCCCACCTTTCTCTCCCCCCGCCCCCCCATATCCGGCTAGTGTTAGCCAGAATGATTAGTAATGAAGCAGTAGTTCTGCCTGGTTGCTCTTGAGTAGCCTAGCAGAAGATGGTTCCATAAACTGGTCCGGCTTGTGTTTGTTATTGTGGTTAGTTAGTTTTTTGTTATTTGCCACTCTCTTTGTGTAAGAGTTGCTTCAGAAATTGTACGGTAGCTACACAGATCTTTGGAAAAGGTTCTTCCATTTAATAGGGGGAAAAAAATGAATGACCCATGTGAAGAATAGGAATATATGTATTTAATCATTTTTTTAAAATTTAAAATATTTCTATCCCACCTTTCTCTTATGTATTTAATCATTTTTTTTAAATTACAATATTTCTATCCCACCTTTCTCTCCAAAAGGACCCAAGGCGGAATGGGGGTTTGGGATGTCTTGGCTACAAATCCCTCAATGCTCCATTCTGAGAGTCCTAAGTGACAGACAGACATGTTCCAGACACCTAAATGTGCCTCCCCAGGAGAAACATCTGAACTGGAAGACTGCGTGGCTTAGCTAGGCCTAGCTTCACTTAGCTTCCTGTTCCCAAAAAAAAAGCTCCCAGCTAGCACTGGGGCAGAAACCAGAAGCTTGTATGCATGTGTATTCCTGCACACATACTGGAAACACTTGACTGATACAATGGCAACAACCTGATGCTTCAGATGCTTACAAGTCCACAATACTAAGCATCCACTGCTGCACAGTTGTGAAAATATCTCACACTCTAGCAGGGCACAGAAAGCGGGGGAAGTGCAGTTTTTTTGTCCTTACTTGTGTGAGTGAGACAAGCAAGGATTTATGTTCCTAGAATACATACATGGTGAATAAGGCAATAGCATCCTCAGGGTAACGCTTCAGATGCCAGCTTGCATCCTAAGATAACCTAAGGATAGTCAAAGAAAGAAATAACAGCAGGCATTATTTCCTCCCTATCATAGTTACTGACAAGCCTGCAAAGAGCTTCCTCAGAGGTTCCCCCTTGTGCCAGGTGGGCTTTGGTATATGGGAGGGTCTGCTGGGGAAGGACAAGGCAGGGAACGCCTTCCCTGAACTTCCTTAGGTTAGCTTTAGCATCTGAGCTCTGATGGAAAAATCCTCCACTTTCGGAATAGCCCCCCTCATGCCCTCTCGTCCGCTGCCGAGGGCGCTCTAAACCTCCAGAGAGGTGTCTTGTGGAGAGGAGTCCCTGGTGGGAGGAGCAGGAAAGAAACTTTTTTGTCCATGGAATTCCTTATTTTGACACACCTTCGGATCCAGGAAGTGCAGTTTCTGAACAAACTGGTTTCTTTACCAGAGATAGGAGTTCTTGAAACTCTGAGGTTGCAAGGACAGAATGTCCATTTTGTGTGTGCACATGAGACTTTAACACCCCACCTTTTCTCTAGTGCGCTCAAAATGCTGTACATACATGGAGCCGCCTTCTCCCTACTTTTCCTGCATTACAGCCTTCTGAGCTGTATCAAGCTGAGAGATGGTAACTGGTTTAAGGGCCTTCCCCTGAGTTTCAAGGCTTAGTGGGCACCTGAACTTGGATTTTCCAACTCCCAGGCTGACACTTTAACCAATACACACCATACTAGCTCTGAATCAATGTGTATGAGTCAGCCGGAGTCAAGCACTGTTAAGTCAAATTGATCTCAGGTGGAGAATTAATGACAGCCTCTTCATTTGAAACCAAAGGGATTTTATGAAGTGCTTACCTTTGGCTGGATTGCTTTGAGGGACATAAGAAACAGGTTCCTTCATTACTGTGACGTTTTCTGTTTTACTCATCCAAAGCTCTGGGAGAGGCTCAGAAACAAGTCTTTTTCAAAAGAACTCCAGCCCATCTAGCATGTGTCCCCTCTGCTCTCCTGCCAAAAATGTCACAGCACACTGGATGGGAAGATGTCTCCTTGCAGTGCTGAGGTTGTTGGGTTGTTTATTTTGACAAAATAAAGCACTTTCAGAGCACAAGGCTGTATCTGCAGTTAGTACAAGAGGGACTTTTGTTGTGTGCAACAAGTTGTTGGGGGGGGGGCAATGTGTAGCCTGCATAATTAACTTGAAAACCGCCCAGAGAGTGCTTGAAGTGCTATGGGGGGGTATATAAGCAGCACGCTTTGCTTTTTTTTGTGTGTGTGTAACAGTTTGCACAACCTCTTTTGCTTGTGCAGTGCAGCACAACTATGCTAATGGATTTTCAGTCTCCTAGCATTATAGATTGTCTTTGGGCCAGTATTTTTAATCCTGTCTTGGCCGGCCAGTTCTCTCAAAAGCAGTCATTCTCTCCCTACTCCACATCGTTGTTGTGAAGGTGAAATCTGGGGAGAAAGGAGAATGATGAGGACTACCATAAAGTCCTGGAAGGAAAGGCAGGATACAAAAGTTTAAAATAAAAAAGCACATGGTAACAGTTCACGTGCCGTGTGACTGGTTACTCTGCAGTTTTCATTCCATTCTGCCACCTCATGTGGATGTGAGGCCACATGCATACCTTTCAATGGGTAAAACAACAACACAGTATCTGCAAGCAGGCATTCAGAAAATGGTCCAGACAAGGGACTGAAAAACATGGGAGGGGAAGGTCTTAGTTTTCTTCCATTGACCCATTCATCCCATTCTAGCACTTTGTAGTTAATATGTCTGTCATTGAGTAGGGGTGTGCGTGGCAGAAGCTTGTGACTCTTGTGTTTTCAGGTCATTTTGTTTCATCCCCCCCTGCCATCCATCGGTGTGGTACTAGTCCAAAAAATCCCTAAGGAAACCGGCAGTGGTGACAGAAAGGAAAGGAGAGGGGAGGGGAGGAGAAAGAGCAGGGCCAGCAGTGTGAGTTGGTACACGCAGAGGTGAGTAGGAAAAGGGTGGAGATGGTGGGCCAGGGAGGCGCACAACTGCGGCGGCAAGGGAAACTTGCTGGAGAACATGGAGGGAGGCAAGGTTTAATGAGAAAAAATATGCCCAAACCCCAGATTTGGGGGTTCCTCTCTTTTGTATAACAAATTCTTCATATGTAAGGGGTTCTCATTCAGAAATCAGCAAAAGGACCCAAAAGCAAAAAACAAAGAGCCTTTTTTCATTTTTTAAAAATGTTCATTTTTAAATGACAAACATCTGTATAATTGAACCAATTTCTGTGGATAGAACTTGAGGACATACCTTTCCAGGATTACACTGTCACAGCCAGAATGTGGCCCAATTTAGAAATATTTCTGAGCTCTGATTGTGGAATACCCATGTCATTATAAGAAAAGCAGTAAGCCACTGACATTTTTACAGATGCTGACCCTTTGTTTACTCTTTCTGTCTCTTGCTTGCATGACCCTTTTTTTTGTTTCCTCCCCTGTATCAATTTTTTTTAAAAAAGTCGCATTTGCTGAGGAAGTTTGATGAGAGTTTTGAAATTAATAATGTAAAATGATTTTAGATTTTTTTTCCAACAAAAATGGTTTTTTGTGCTTTATTAGTTGTATGCCATAACATATAATACATTGCCTTTAATAAATATTTACACACGCCAAGCCAGGGAGAAATGAAGTGTAATGGAGGACCAAAATAAATTTATTTCAAGGTAGGTTTAGAAGGAACGGTTCACAAAATGACTAAGACCTTGAATGAGCAATTCCCAGACAGTTCGCAAACTGAACATCATATAACAGTTCCCCCACTTCCATAATGCATGATGCCCTGCCTACTGGATACCTTCCCCCCCCCAACAGAAATGTTCATGTCAAGAGAGGCTGTCAGCTCCCCTTCTCACTCATCATCTCACCCATTCTTCCTGGGCTACTTTGTTTACAGGTGAAGAGGCAAAATGGATTCTGGTTACTTACAAAGGTGGAACTAGTGTCTGGTAGAAAATAAGTGAAGCCCACGACTTAAACAAGAAAAACATGGGCATCAACAACTTCATCAAGTATTAAAGGTTTCTTTCCAAACAAGAAATAAAGCACACAGTGTACAGATGGAACACAGAGAAAAGCAGGTCACTTCTAACTTACAGCCTTTTGGCATTTTATATACCACAGTGCCATCTAGCCAGAATAGATGTGATCGCTCCTCGGGTAAGGACAGACAGGAAAACAACTTCTCTGTTCTAATATGAAATGTTAAGATCATAAATAATTTGTGACCTTGGACGAAGCTTAGCTCCCAGCCTTTTTTGTCTGAGTTTTTATTCACATTTGTTTTCCTCGGCAGAATGCGGCTCGGGATCCCAAGGGCCAAGCTATAGCTGCAGGAAACAAACCAACATATGCTATTTTCATTATTTCTGGAATTGGAAGGCACATGAATTAATGCATTAAATAAAACCACTGTACGTTTCAGGAGGGAACTTTTATAAGCAGGGACTTCAAATAATACAAAAGCCTAAATTAAAGACTGCAATATTAGAAAGGTTCTGCGAAATGAACTATAGAAATCTAGTCATGTAGAGGTAAATAAATGAGATTGCATATTCTGGTAACATACTTATTGATCCCTCGTATAATATACACACTATATCTAAGGGCTCAGTACACTTAAGAGCAGGTTGGGTTCCACTTTGGCTCCACATGAGTCATGCTGCCATCAATGGGAAGGGTATACACGTACTTAGTCCTCCATTAATATCACAACGACTTTAAAGAGCAGAAGTGGTCACTTTTGTATTCTGGGAATATTCCTCTCTGTAAGATATGTTGTCAAGCTGCTTCTGACTTATGACAATCTTAACAGGGTTTTCAAGATACCTGAGTAGTTGAGGAACTAGTCTCTCTCTCTCCCTCCCTCCCTCCCTCTCTCTCTCTCTCTCACACACACACACACAGACACACACAGACACAAACACACACAGAGAGAAAGAGAGAGAGTCTCCTGAGTTCTCATCTGACACTGTATCCAAGCTCCCGATGAAACTGGAGGAGACACATGGATTGTAGCATGATCCTTTGAGTCCAACCCATTATTTCAAAGTTCAGTCCCACAACTGGATATGTAATGGAACACTTCTCTTTGAGCTTCCCATGTTTATCCCATTTCCTCCAGCTCCACCCTGGAGTCCATCAGCACACCAAGGACATTATCGATGTCTGGTCTTCCTCAAGCTATTTCTCACCTTCCCCTTGACTCCCCTCACTCATATATTTCCCTTTATTTATCTATGCAAAACATTTTAATCCAATATACCCATTGCTATTGTCGTATCATTGATCCCACAATGAGCAGCAGGAAAGGGAACATGGGGTCTTTCAGCAGGGCAGATGGTCCTGGGTTTTGTTTGTTTGTTTGTTTGTTTCCTTCTCTTGGTCAACTGACGTTTACAGAGTCCTTGTCATGCTTTCGGTGCCTTCTGGCCTTTTCTTTGCTGTAACAAAATAGACAAAATCTAGGTGCCAAGATCTTCTTGGGCAGAACACTTCCTATGGATAGGTACATCTACGTATAGGTACCTCAGACTTTGAAAGAATTCAGAAAGAATGGTGCCATATTAAGTTGCGATGTTTAAGGAGCACATTTTTCCTGTTGTGAACGTTGTGTTGTGCATTGAACAGAATTGGAAGAAGCTTCTGAGCAGCCACATCATGGACAGATCCACACCAGAGGTGGCTCTCCATGCCACAGGCAACATAACTTCAATAATTTTCCACCTCTATGCTCTGCACACATAGTTCCCTCACATCTGCCAGAATAGCAGCAGCTTGAGGGATGTTCTCCTAGCAAGCTCAGATCCCGGCATGACATTTTGCCTCACAAAATATTTGTACAGAGTTCACCTTTCTTATTTTCCTTGCCCCCATATTGTCTCCATTTTTAAAAGGCCATTTTTATAATACCCTTTCCCTCCCAAGACCTTCTCCATCAAAGGACCTGTTAGCTGAAGAGATGGTCGGGGCCAGTTCTGTGTCAGAAGGAAAGCTGCAAGGCTCATCTGTCCATAATGTGCCAGAATCTCCTCACCTATCAGTTACAGAACTACCAACACATCACACGGGCAGTGTCCATATCTACAGGAGCATGGCTCTCCATACAGATTTGGACACTGCCGTTCTATAACACCATCAAGATGCAGGATCTGCTTCACAGGAAAGAAGACATTGGCTCTGGTCTCAATAATCTAGATATCGGAGGGGATATTCTGCCATCCCACCTCATTTTCATCCTCCACCCTATATATACGAGCATGTTCTTGAGCTGTAAGGCTTTAAGAGTTTTCCCTCCCCCACATTTTTTGTACTCACGCTCAGACACAACCTAGCTGTCCCATCTCAGTTCCTCTCTGTTTAATGTTTGGAATGAGCATGGCAGACTGAGGAGAGTGGGTTGTATAAATCAGTGGTTCTTAACCTTGGGTTACTCAGGTGTTTTTGAACTGCAACTCCCAGAAACCCCAGCAAGCATAGCTGGTGGTGAAGGCTTCTGGGAGTTGCAGTCCAAAAACACCTGAGTTGCAGACTGAGGAGAGTGGGTTGTATAAATGCCCAGATGACCACTCGAAGAGTGCCAGCTACGGACAAGCAATCTGTCCTCCTTCTTCGTGGTCTCTGTGAATCCCACACATGGTGACTGGAATGCATGCAACGGATGAGATTGGTAAGATGGTGATTTATTTTTAGGATGTTGATTTGTATGCTCTTTGACCCTGAGATGCCTGCCAGGAATCAAAACCCATTCTTTTGGTTGGAGACCATCTCTTGAATAGGTCCCCTATTCGTATGCATCTCCTTACGAGTACCACCCTTGGACAAAATAGAGGTCATTTGCTATTGTAACAGTGCTGCAAAGAAGTCAGTAAGTGGATGACCCCACCAACACATTAGTGTTTGGAAAACAGTCCAAGACAATTCCCATTCCCATGTCTGGAAATCTTGCCAGCTTAAACCATGTGTTATGTAGTTGTCTTACATCGTAAGAAATTTTAGGGAATGATGAAATTGGTTGATGTAATCATTATTGTTGAAATTACCGGTATATATGACCATTCTTGAAGTGGTTGTGTGTGATGTGTGATGCAGCCACCACTGTAGAGGCTACTAGTCCCAACAATTTTTGTATTAATAGACCTTTACTAAAGTTTTCATTGTAAATGAGATAATCTTTTTTCTGCCTTTCTTGTGGCAGGGACTACATTAATTTGAAGGTGGAAAGGGTCAAGGTCAAGCAATTTAAGTGGAACTGCTGCACTGTTGTTCTTACAGAAATCAATGCAAAATCGTAGGGTTTGAAGGAACCTCGGAAGAACTATGCCTTAAAGGGACTGTTGTGAAGCAGCATGCAACAGATAAAGTTTACAGAGATTTCTAAACTTGTGACAGTTCACATCAAAAATACAGACTGGTTAGCTTTCCAGTTAATAGGTCACTTATTGATGCATCCTCTCACCCTGAGAGTGTGGGCATATCATATTTATATGCAAACTGGAACCACCATCTTTTCCACTTTGCTGTTGTTTCCCTGCAGGAAAGGATGGACTCCTTTATAAATCACCACATAAACCACTCAGCTACTAATTTATCCTGCTGGCATTATTACTGGTTTTTTTTTAAAAACTGAATTAAATGAAATACAGAATATGAAACATCTATCCCACTTTTTCTAACCTCCCTCCCCTTTACCTCTGGAAATCTTTCAGGACCTGTGCAAACTTACATACAACCATCCATCAGTCTGTAGTAACCTTTCAGCACTCAGCTGTTCTATTACGTTTTAGAATCCCAAATCTTTCCCACATTTTCTAACCCCCTCCCCTTTACCCCTTGAAATCTTTCAGGACCTGTGCAAACTTACGTACAACCATCCATCAGCCTGTAGTAACCTTTCAGCACTCAGCTGTTCTACTACATTTTAGAATCCCAATTATGATACACAGCTGCAGAATGTTAGTACATTTCAGATAAAAGATCGGGAAGACTGACCATTCTTTAAGCATTCCACAGCAGACACAGAACAGCTTGTGCCTATGCTGATTGCTGAACTTGTAGCAATTCACACCTAAAGGACAGGAAACTGGCATAATTTTTCCACTGGATTCCAGCTTAAGGATAGAATCCTATTAGGAACATGGCGAGACTGCTTGGCATTTGTCCTGGGGATCTCTAGGCTCCAGTTACACAAGCTGGCCCATAGTAGGAACTGGCAGGTGGTCCATCTCAAAATCTCAGGGAGAGGGCTTTCCTTACTTGGCTCATAAATCACCAAGGCTGTAAAGGTGCTGCAGGGAGACTGCTTGGCATCTGTCCTGGGGATCTCTAGGCTCCAGTTACACAAGCTGGCCCATAGTAGGAACTGGCAGGTGGTCCATCTCAAAATCTCAGGGAGAGGGCTTTCCTTACTTGGCTCATAAATCATACACAAGCTGGCCCATTGTAGGAATTGGCAGGTGGTCCATCTCAAAATCTCAGGGAGAGGGCTTTCCTTACTTGGCTCATAAATCACCAAGGCTGCTTACAGGCAAGTCTGGGCTGTTGGAATAGTGACCTACATATTACTCTTTTAAGACGTTTCGATGGGAGGGACTTTGGGCAAATGCCAATCACTTAGAGTAGCCAATCCTCTCTACTTCAGATTCCTTTTCCCACCTTTTTTCAGGTCAATCAGGTTTCAGTGTGGCTTTCCTTACTTGGCTCATAAATCACCAAGGCTGCTTACAGGCAAGTCTGGGCTGTTGGAATAGTGACCTACATATTACTCTTTTAAGACGTTTCGATGGGAGGGACTTTGGGCAAATGCCAATCACTTAGAGTAGCCAATCCTCTCTACTTCAGATTCCTTTTCCCACCTTTTTTCAGGTCAATCAGGTTTCAGTGTGGGTTAGAGTTGTGTTTTCCTCTCTACTTCAGATTCCTTTCCCCACCTTTTTCAGGTCAATCAGGTTTCAGTGTGGGTTAGAGTTGGTGAGTGTCTAGCAATGTTAGAGACAGGTTAGCAATATCAGCATTCAGTGTTCTGAGTGTTTATGTAACCAGTAAGTTTTAGTGAAGAAACTAATGAAACTGGCCAGTAAGGATACCATAATATGTAACCATATTATTTTTGTTTGTATTCTGACATGAAGATTTTGTAATTAAAAGAGAAACATTTTGATTCTGTTTAAACAAGTGTCTCTGACTATATTTTGATAATGTATGCCAGTTGAAGTAAAGTGAGATAACTCTAATTAAAAACTAACTATACTATAAATGGACAGTGTATTTGAGGGAGTGTTGTAAAGTAATGCACCAATCTGTTCTGTGGGTTTCTGTCTGGACCACTGTATAGGTGGAAGTTTTGTTTTGTTTTCATTTTTAGACCACCATTTCCCACACACTCTGCCTGATATGGGCTTCATTTGTTCTTATTTTCATTATTATTATAATGCATTGTGAGTCCCATTGAGAAACATTTGTCAAGGTATAAGTCTTCAGAAACAAGCGAGTAAACAATGGTTAAAGGCTTGAATCTTGCTCTGAAAGAGCATAGCATCTCCTAGGAAATGTGGTACATTAAACTGTGCATGATTTTTGTTGAGAACAATCCATGAAAACAAGTCTTAAATAAATTTCCCTTCCTTGCTTGAATCATGAATGCAGAGTTGCATGCTTATTAAAGGTGCCTCCAAATACAGGATTCACACTTAGGGATGTGAGTCTGTGATGTGAGTCTGTGATTCTAGAGAATTAGCAGGCAACCACAAAGAACTGAAAAAAGTGTTTTCCTGGCACTACAAGAGAGCAAGGTATTTTCGGAGGAGAGCAAATGGACCACTTTTGTGCAAATCGCATATCTTTCTCAAGCTGAATTGCACACATTACTCAAAATGATAATTGCTGCACTCTTGTTCTATGACTTTCAGATGGATTGCTGGCATCTTTTGGCAAATAATCAGACACTAGATTTTACATAAACTGCCCAAGAGACATCATGTGCAAACTGCACAAATGTTGAAGAGAATTAGTACTCCTCTTGTTCTGGTTCTACAGGCAAGTGATCTTTTAAGGCTTAGAAATTTCTCATCTAGGTGTTTTATACTCTTAGTGTTGCCTAATGGAAGCAAACGAGAAACCTAGTGACTATTCTTCAATATATATAAGCAGAACCTAGAAGAGGAAAATGGCTTCTCATCTTAGCCACTAGGAATGGTGTAACAAATGCTGAATTTTGTAGCAGAAGACTATGACCTGAGTCAGCAAGAAGCGTGAGAACCACCACACCAAGACTGGTCTACCAGATTTCTGAGTGAGCGAACTAATACCCACTATCACCTTCAGACGGTGCCCACCCCCATAAGATCATTAAACCAAAAATACAACATCACCTAACTACAACACTGGTTATTGGCCATTTTTATTTTTGAAAACAGAGCCCCAGATTTTCAAATTACCAGAAAAGTGCAAAAAGGAAAGCCCACAAATTGGTTGGGACTGTCTCAAGCCTCCCCCACCCCCATGGCAGTTACTCTCTCGGTATCTAAACTCCTGAAATCCTTTTATGCCTAAAATTCCACTTCAGCACTTTTCTGCTTGAAGGAATGTTTGAAGGCACTCTGGAATGATATGCTATTTCTCAAAGTGATATTCTTTGAGGCAAACACTGATGAAAGTCAACGAGACACAGCATCAGTGTGGCAAACAAGCCCACAGAGAAGTGCCATTTTCTTATAAAACGATGCAGTCCTGCTTGGTTTCACTCACAGTTTAGAGTAAAATAAAGCCATTTCCTGGTTGATTTCAGTTACAATTGGAGATGGTTTTTCAATCTGGCCAGCAAAAATGCTTTAGGAAAAAAAAGTTACTGGAGGGGGGGGAGGGAAGAAAGAAAGAAAGAAAGAAAGAAAGAAAGAAAGAAAGAAAGAAAGAAAGAAAGAAAGAAAGAAAGAAAGAAAGAAAGAAAGAAAGAAAGAAAGAAAGAAAGAAAGAAAGAAGGTATTTATTGAAAATTTAGTCCCAACCAGTACCAGAGGAAAAAAAATAAGGCCAGACAAACCAAGGACTTGACACATGTAATAATAACCAAAAGAAAGGCAGCTAAGGCCCTGGTCACATGAGTGAAATGTTTTTTACTTCTTCTGATATTTTCCATACCTCTGTTGTACTGAATCATGGTCACGTGGTTTATATCCAGGAACGAACATCCCAAGAACTTTTAGCAGTGCTATTTATTTCCTCCTGTTTGGCTGGCTAGACCGTGGTACCCAGACTTGCACAAAAGGGGGAGGGTGGAAATTAGAGGGAACATTGATCAGGAAGGGATCAATGTTTCTTTCTGTTTAGGAAAGTGTCCCTCTGTTGCAGTGGCTGCTCCTGCGGAAATGCATTGCACACAATGAACACGAGATATCCACACAGCAGTACTGGCAATCACCTTCCCCCACTCCCGTGACATTGGCATACCAATATTTCCATGTATCTTCCCATAGGGAAAAATATTTTACCAATGTATCAGTGCATCGGTTTCCCCAAATTGAAAAAAATTAATGTATGTCCTGCAGTAATGGCAGCCACCTTCCTGGCTTTGATTCTGAAATGAAGCGGGGCAGGTCGTGCCCACAGGCAATCCTGGTAAGGAATACACCAGTACAAAAGAGGTACAAAATAACACAACCCTCCTGGTGATGGGGGAAAATTCCGCAGTTATATCGCTGGCCGGGAAAATGCCTCAGTCATGGCTCTGTGTCATGTGACTGGGGGGGGGGAAGCAACGAACTAACTGTGGGATAACTAGAGAACATTCCCCTTGTCTGACCAGGGCCTACGTTAGTTTTCAAGATAAACCAAAACTTTAAAAGGGATTTTTATTACTTTAATACAGTTACCAAAACAGCTGAAACTTTTAGCCTTTTATTTCCATGATAAAATAGCTGGCGACACCTGAATACAGCAGTTCTTTTCTCTCCACAAAGGCACTCTGTATGGTTTCAGAAATTGTCAAAATGAAAATGATAAACCCCAAACAGCGGAGACATATATTTTCCTAGGCAGCAATTTATCTATTGAACCGAATTCAGCACACTGCTGTTTCCTGTAATGAATGTGCCACCTTATCTTAATTATCAACAGCAAGACTTTGCTCGTTTGTCTTATGAAACATTCCATCCAGCTCACCATAAAATTCAGTTGAAGGGTTAGCATGGTGGCCACTGACCTTAAATAAAGGTATAGTGAAACCAATTCGGAAGGGCTCCTTTCCACATTCTGTCAAGATGTAGAGCTTATCCAAATTTACAGGACATATATCTAAGTCAGTTGAAATCTTTGCACTGCAGGTTAGCATCCAAGTGAGGTCCAAAATATTAGGGAAAATGATATTTATTTGCTGCTGTGTCTCCCACCAGTTGCTTAGCAGTTAGTCCTTTTGTGGGGGGCCTGGCCTGTAGCTTAATTATTTTTAGCTACCCTATTCCACTTTTCCTTCCATGAGTTCAAGGCGCTCTCTATTATACTTCGCTCACTTCCTCCCCACTTGATCCTCACAAAAACCCTGTGAGGGAGGTCAGCCAGAGAGAAGGAGACTGCCCTGAATCATTCAGTGAATTTTACACCTCCGGGGGGAATGGATTAATGTGGACTTTTGAGATCGTGCTCCAGCACTCTAATCATTTTACACCTCACTTTGCTTCTCCAGCTCCACCACTTTGTTCATGCACTGGGCTTGGGTCTATTACTTTCTATCAGCCTAGCCTAATTGACATGATTGTTGAGAGGAAAAGAGTAGAGTGAGAAGAGGACAATCATGTAAACGTCTTGAATTCTGGAGTAAAATAAAGCTTATAAATAATAAAACATAAATAAATACATGGGGAATCATTGCAACATTTCTTCCAGTTAACACACTGAAAACCTTTCAAAGTCAGATGACAAATAATTACCTGACACGTTGCTTGTAGTTTGTTTGGCTAGGAAGAATCTTTCTGCCAATCTATCCAGCACTGACCAATCGTTCCTTCCCACCTCTGAATTCACAGAAAGCTGCATATCTCTGCAGAGTGTTTTCTTTCCCTCTGTTTAGTCTGTTGAAGTCAGTTGTTGTCATAGTGCTGTTTGCTGTTCCCAGCTGTAAATAATGAAACTTTTTAAATTATTTCTCAGAGTGACTTACTGAGACCTCAAGTATCAGTTAATGAGAAAAGGAGTTGACTATCTGGAGAACTTGAAGCTATTCTCTTCTGAGAGTCTCTGTACTTTTATGTTTCAAAAGGGGAGTTTTAACCACAAATTCTGCAACAGTTTTTTTAACATATCAAAATCAGGGAGCTAGACGGGGTACAGATTGTATTTGTCCTAAATGTGGAAGGGATTGTCACTCTCGAATTGACCTTCTCAGCCACGCTAGACGCTGTTCCAAGTCCTCCATTCAGAGCACTGAAGGGTGCCTATGATGATTTTTAACATATATAAGTTCCTGCACTGCCAGTCTCACAGCAAAATTCACACAACTGCCCCAGTACATCAGTCAAAATAGTCATCTTCAAACCAATGTATTTTCTTTGTACAGCAGATCTTAGCATTCTGCAACAATACATTTTTATCAAGTTAAACTTCCATCTGCTCATGCTTCTGTAAAGTTAATAAAACCAGAATGATGCGTTCTCCTTTAATGAGTTTTTTGAACAAAAGCCTCTCCAAGTGATTATATATGGCCTGCTTCTCATATTTTTCTTGGGGGAGCAAAACAACAATAATGAGGATGCTAAAAAATTTAAGTGTTTTAGGGAAACATCAACATTTCTTTTTCCCTTTGCACACTCATTTTCTATTTGTAGCTTTCCAGGTATTTGATACTGGTGGGTGGGGAGCCACAAAGGGAGAAATGATGAATGCTTCTGGAATTATGAATGATACTGAGAGACTGCTTTAAGAGAAAAAATGTTCTCGTGTGAAAATTCTTAAGAATAATTCAAGGCCATTAAAGAAATCATTGTTGATCATAGATTCAGAACTGACAAAAGGGTGTTATTCTTCAGTTAACATATAAATCATGCATGGAATCCCCCACCGTAAGCTTCTGTGATGGCCATTAACTCTGAGCCCCTCGTGATGAGCACCATATCTCAGGGTGAGCCGTCATTCCAGAGTAGCTTTATCAACAGTATCCTACAGATAACATATTTTTCCAACTTGTTATTAAATGTATACTCCCCGCCCCATGGGACTGCAGCTGGCGTATAATAAAATTACAAGAAGCAAATAAACATTACACCACAGTGAAGTGTACAGAAAGAAATGTAAAGTTATTAAACGTATAACTCTAAATTTCAAAGAGTCTTAAAATACACAAGTGAAAGAAAACCACAGCACCCACCCCCTTAAAAGCCCTTTTCTCCACAATGTGAAGTCAGTTGCTCGATGCCCACCAGAATAAAAAGAGAGTGCTGTTGTTGTTCTTTTGGCCTGCCAGTGAAAAGACAACAAGCCCAGTTTAACCTCCTTCAATGAGGTTTCCAGACCCATGGACTGGAAACAACCACCGAGAAAATCCTGAACACTTAGCAGTACATACTTTTAATCCTGGAGTTAACATGCAGGAACAGGATTACTTCTGCTTCCCATTAAGAGTTCTTATAGGCTACGGTTTCCCAACCTTGAGTAACCCAAGTGTTCTTGGACTGCCACTCCCAGAAATGCTCGCCAGCACAGATAATGGTGAAGGCTTCTGGGAGCGGCAGTCCAAGAACACCCAGGTTACCCAAGGTTGGGAGCCATGGTGTTACGTGGAAGGTACGTAATAAGCAATTGAAGTGTGTTTTTCCATCTGGTGCACATTACACAGGCCCCAGTTTTGTAGGGAACCCTGTTTCTCCTCCCTTGGATCTGACAGGGGGATGGAGGTGACATCTGGAGGGTGGGATCCCTTATAGCTGACAGGACTGCCTTCTTGGCCAATCAGGGGCCAGTGTTGATAGCAGGGGCGGGACTGGGCTAGGCATTTAAACAAGGCTGCCACGCTTTCTGGCCTCTTTTCTTTGCTCTGGTTTCATCAACAAGCAACCTTCGCATTTCTACACAAAGGGGAGGGGGGGTCACAACTCCCCACCATGTTGTCAGCAATAGAGCAATATTATGCATCATACCATAATTATATCATAAATCAGGATATGAAGAATACCCACAGGGCTCTTTTGTCCTCGTTTTCTTTGTCTGTCTTAAGCCAACAAGAAGCCCGAAAGAGGTAACTGTCGGAGATTTCTTGCCTCCTGCCAAGAACTGGACAAAGGACTTTTGTTTTTCTTCCATAAAAGGGTCTTCATATTTTGTGCAAAACCCTTTCCTCTTGAGAAGCAGCAGAGCATGCTCACACAGCAAGCACAAAAGGGCTGCCTGGTTGCAAGGAGGGGCATAAACTGGGTAGAATTCAGCTTTAACCTCTCAAATGGCCCCCATGCTAAGGAGCCATGCCCCTAGTTTCACAGAATTAACTTGTACAAATTGCTCTCTCGCGTGTGCTCATGGTTGCTCGCGGTCTGTATGTGCATGTGTGCAAACAGTCATCCTCACAGTTGCCAAGGACCATTTGAGAGTAGCAGGAACTTGGGTCATCACAGTTAAGGAAAAGGAACGTGACAATTTCTTGTCCATGCCTGTGAGAGATCAAGACAATCAACATCTGTAATTTCATATATTATTGCTCTGTATATTATTGTGTCATATTATAATATAATCATATAGTAGAAATCGTAGCTCAATACTAGAGCAAATGCTTTGCATGAAGAATGTCCCAAGTTCTGTCCCCAGCATCCCTGGGAGCAATCCATGTAGGAAACTATGGGAAGTTGTTAACTAATTAGTGTCTAGATGGACGATAGCCAGAGTCGGCATAAAACTGTTTGTTATATACCTATGAATCCTTAGTCCAAGACTTAGCATGATAGAAGTGCATTGCCAGACAAGAGAGTCCAAGGTGCCAATTCAGACATAAACTCAACAGCCCCAGGAAGATTTTGCAGCATGTACAGCTGCAAAGCGGGGACAGTTCCAGAGTTCAAAAATCCTGTGATCCATTGCAACATTTTGATAATAACTGAAATCCTGTTGTTCAGCATATTGCATTCCACACAAGTAGGCCCACGGAATCAAGGGGCTCAACTTCTCCATAAGTTCTGTTGATTCAATGAACTTATTCTAGTTGTGAATTACTAGAGGAGGCCCATTTGAATCAATGGAACTTCTGGAAGAGTCAACACACCCAATCCCCACTGATTCAATGGATCTACTCTATCTGTGACTTACTTCACTAAGCATCAGGATTTTAAGCACTGAGGGTATCCTATGGTCTTCCCTTCTGGGAATGAAGATCAATAGCCTCTTGGCTGAAACTGAGCGACTGCATGATTCTGAACATCAAATTCATTCCATTTAAAATATTTGATCCTATGTTGCAATGATACAATGTAAGAAATCCCCAGAATTCTTTTTTAATTCAGCCTCCATATGCTCTTTCGGTTACTGAATATATACAGCAATGGATTTTGCACATTCATTAAAAATACAATTATGGATTGGGCATTAGTATTAGGCTATCACCTGGCAATCAAAATAAAATATGATAGCTGTCTGAAGGCAAGCCAGCCATTAATTAAAAACCTTGTAACCAAACTAAGGAATGATAGCTGTAATAATTCATCAGAGGCATTAATGAGGACAATGACTTACTTTTGGAGGATATTAATGTGTAATTGGAAAGAGAACTAATGGCTCTGGTGCAACTATCCCATTCAATTCCTTGTCCAAAGCATATGCCATAGTCTTTTGAAGCAAAAGTGTTTTTAGTCCAGATTTCTTCATTCTACCTGAAGGATTATCCACACATAATCACATGTCTTTCTAAATGAGAGACTTCATCCTTAAGTATTTGCCAAAACCGTAAATTACTTTTATTTATAGACAGGACAAAAGTTATTTAAAACACAGTGAGCTTTCCCACTTTGGCTCTTTATCATCAAGAAGGATACCAACTGAAATTAGCGTTCTTAATTATGTCTTCGAAATGAAAGAAGGCTACAAATCATTTCAAAGTTGGAGAGAAAATAAGTGAGCTTGAGGTCAGGCAAAATAAGGCGGGGGAGGGGACCAAGACCTAATTTACTGAAGGGTTGTCTGTACTATTAAACTAGAAATACCTTCTTGAGTAATTTATAGTGTGACCTTGACAGAGATGATACCTTCTACCAAAAAGAAGGAAAGAAAGAAAAGTATAACAAACACTTGTAAATACCAAGCACATTTTGAAATTTAAGAAAATTATAACAAAAAATTGTAAATACCAAGCACATTTTGAAATTTAGGGACTCAGTTTTTTGATAACAGATTAAAAGCATATAATCAAGTAAAGACACACATTCCCAGTTTACACAAAACCATTGTGCCAGATACGGCATCCAAAGTTCTAGACCTAAGCCAGCTTTGAAGTCTCATGAGATTTTATTGTGCACCTAAAGTCTTCCTCTTGCATTGAGCCAGCAAATCTTAAGACCACCCCAATCTATGTGGCATGTAGCAAATGAGGTAACCGAATCTTGCCATGATAAAGTAAATGACAGTACTATCCAAGCTAGTGCTCAGGTTATGTTCCTAGAATGTGGAGTGATAACCATAGCAATGGTAAATGAAGTCATTATGACACTATAGTTTCTTGATAAGGTGAAAATAGAAATGAATATTTCAGCTGGTGCCAAGTCTGTAGCATTGGAGAAGGCAGAGGAAGAGAAGAGGGTGGAAGAGCGAAAGGAGAGACACAAAAGAGGGAGTTATGTGTTGTGTGTCAGGTGGGAAATGGGGCAAATAAGGAGAGAGAGAGAGAGAGAGAGGAAAGGAGCCACTGCGGCGACCACATTGTGCACACTGTGCACATTGTGCTATGTGGGGAGGGTCTGGTGAGTGAGGAGGGGCTATGAGGGAGCTACTTACTGCTTACTGACCGACTGCTTGCCTGCCTGCTTGCTTGTGTACACGTGTATGTATGTGAACAGCGTGTGGTTAAAAAAATCATCATCATAACTTTTATTGGCATAAAAACGTAAAGCAAACAGCAGTCCTCAGATA